GATTTCCTTGTTGATTAGTCCAACTTCAAAGCTATGTTAGTGTATCATATCTATGTTAGCTATGTTTAAAGTAGAAATAAAAAGCTGTTCAGAAATGTATAAAACAATAATATAGCCTTTGTACAGAAAAAAACCACCTACTGACTTCATAAACAGCAATGAAAACATAGGGAAAAAACCAACTGCTAAATGTTGGAATAGGTCTGAGGACTTCTTGCTCTCCCATTTTCTCTCCTTAACGTCAAATTCTTCTTGTTTGTAAAGGCCTGATTCAATTTATAATCTTGGTAAAGATTTCAGAGGCTGTTACAATCACTATTATCCTCATTTTAATTTCTTGATAATATATTAGTCAATGTAATTAATATAATAATACCTTATAAATATACTGCCCCATTCATTTTGATTTGCCAAAAACATAGTTAACAGTGAATATCTAATCAGAGTTTACCTTTCTCTATACAGGTATGTTAAATCACAAATTGATTTTTAAGTATCTTTTGGGGAAGTATAATTGTACTTTTTGTATCTCCCACTGACATAGCAAGGTGTTTTTGCATAAAGAAAAGCTTAGAGAATATTTATTTGACAACATTCTTAGCCAAAGGGGTCAACAACAAGCTGTTCTATCAATTAAATAACAGGAAACACTCCTAAACCAGAAATTTTTGTGTCTTCATATGACCTCATATTTCAAGAAGACATGTCATAAAGAGTATTCATAAACATCACCACCACTTAGAAATCAGCAATTGCAAAATTTGTATTGAAAATAAACATAGTAATTTCCTTATTTCATGAGAGACATGAGCATTTTTTGATGAACTATATTGTTCAGGTAGTATTAAGGGGTCTCCCTGGGTCCCTCATTTTTAACAGATGCATTTAATAATTAGGAAATTTTAATTTTGTGTCTAATTTTAGAAAAACTTGCTATAAAACTGCTTGCAAATCCAAATGCCAAGGTTTTGAAATATTCATCATATAATAGAACAGTCTGGGTTCCATTGAACTCTACCAGCTTCCAATCAGACCATATTGTATGAATTTAATGTAGAATTATAAAGGTGACCTTGTAAAATAAAAGGGGGAGATAAAGCAGTTTTAAAAATAGGAAAATTGGCAGTTTGGGAGAAATACCTGGTTGAAGCCTCATCGCCCATTCTAAAATCTAATGAAATGCTGGATGGTTTAAAGAGCAAGTATTTTAAGAAAAACTAAAGAAAATACTGTTGAATATTTAATTGACCTCTATATGAAAAAGATACTTAGCTTTAAAATTAGTGGAAGAAATTACAAAGGAAAGACTGATAATTTATATGGATTTAATTTGAAACTCTAGTAAAATGGATAAAACTATGAAGGTAATAAATAATAAGTTAGTGAGTAGGTATTACATACTTGATGCCAGGCATTATTCTGGCTGTTTGGGATGTATATCTGTATACACACATACATACCCTCCTCACACGTATACATATATATACACACACATACACATATAAGACAGAGACCCTTATGTCCTTGCTATAAAATTGTTATAGTGGACAGTGATAATTAATATGTAAATGATCTTGTATGTGGAAAGGCAAAAAGTGCTGTGGAAAGGAGAAAGTTGTATGCACACATGTATGCAAGCATAATTTTCAGTAATGTTAAGTCCAGGAGAATCAGTGGAATGGAGTCAACACACAATTCTGTCTTGATACTTTGCATTTGGATAAGTTGACTTTAATGACTTGATGAAACAATTCCTTTCAAACGGACCCACAATTACCAAAAGCAAATCCTGCTCATACTTTTTATATTGTACAATTTCAGTTTTGCTTTTATGCACATTAAACTAAATTGGTGGCTAAAATCTAACTAAATGAACTTGATTCTATTAGGAAATGTGTGGTGTGTTCAGGCAAAGGACAGTCTGTGTGGGTTAAAAATGTGTGGTTATTTAAAATGTTCTTTTTTATGGATGACTCAGTTTTGCCACAGCTTCATTAGTGAACTAAATTTTTGTTAATGTGGATCCATCTTCTGAGTTAAATAGGCCTTGACCCTTTGTTAAGAAATCACTTAACTAGTAGACAGTTTGTTCTTTCTGAAGAAAAGTAACATCATAGACTCAAAGGCTGGAACAACCCAGTATCTTTACATCCTTCCTGCTCCAACTTCATGTGACCCTCTCTTGCTATTTCTTGTCAACATCTCCTTTTCAAAGACATTTTTCTTGCTCATCCAAGCCTTGGTTTTCTCACCAGGCTTTGGTTGCTAGAGTTAGTTGCTGAGTCATTATCTGTCTTGGACTAATCCTTAGTTGTATTTCAACCCAATTAGTTACCTTTCAGATTTCTATTAAAGTTCTAAAACACACGAGTAGAAAAGTTAAATATGGTTGGTTCAAAGTATTTCAGGGAAAGGAAAATGCTTTCAAGAGGGTCAAAATATCCTAAGGTAAGGATAGAGGTACAAGGTCTTTTCCATGTGACATATTGCTAAACTAACAAGACTAAAGCCAGCAGTGGCCAATGTCACAGGTGTATTTGAGCCCTACCTTCTAGCTTCAGTCACCAGAAGTTCCTTTCTGCTAAGATATATGAGAAGAAGCCTTGCATTTTATGGGTAATGGAAAAGCATTAGGTGTATTATAGGCTTAAAAAGCTTAAAAAGGGCCCTCCCTGGTGGCGCAGCAGGTTAAAGCACAGCACTGAGAATCTAAAGCCACTTCCGCATGAGTTCGATTCCCGCCTGCCCCGGAGGTGACCACATGGCGTGGCAGACCTCTCCAGACCCGCCCGCTGCTCCCCTCAGCAGTGTACTTCGTCGATCTGCCTGTTCTGTTCCCCACTCTGTCTCTGGTGAAGCCTCTCGCCGCCCCTGAGCCTCTGGCCTGTACCCCAGTTCTGTATGCACAAATAAATAAATCTTTAAAAAAAAGCTTTAAAAAACTATCAAGCATTTCCTGAGTACTATCTATAAGCACAGATCAAAGGAATGCAAGAATCAAGTATCATATTTAGGCTTCCCCTCCCAGAGTTCCCTTGTAGCACCATTCTAGGCATTACAGGCTAGAGGACCCCCAAAATATTCAGTAGCTCCATTGTCTGGAATTCTCTGAGCATTCATCTTCCTGGTTATGGTGATTATTAAACAAAAACTGCCTGTTTTATGACCCTTTGTATGGCAGCCTGCAACCAGTTCAGTTCATATCCACACAGCTTTGTGGAAGTTCATTGGCACTGTCAGGATTTAAGGAAGTTTAGAAGAATTTTCATTCACTGGACATCTAATTTTCTTTTGCTTTATTTCTCCCCTTGTCTTTTTAAAAAAATATTGATATAATTCATTTTTTCCTCCAATTTTATTAATTTGTCAGTCATTTACAGAACTATATATTTTGGGGGTTATATATTCACATGTCCAGTTGTGCACATGCTTCACTCAACTTCCACCCAACTGCCATGCCAATGTCCTACCCCCTTTCTTTCTGTACCCTGCCATTTCCTCTGATAGCCAATATATTCAAGGCTGAATCATTTATCTATGTAAAAAGCACAGATGAGTTTTAATGAATGGTATGTAGTCCACACTTTAATAAACATGCACATTTCCATCGCTCCAGAAAATTCTCTTTTGCCCTTTCAATGCCCTCTTCTTCAGTATTCAAAGTTATCAGCATTTTGATACCTGTTACCATACATAAATTGTACTTTTTCTAGAACTATATAAAAATGGATGAAGACAGCATGAACTCTTCAGTCTCTAATATCATAAGTTTTAAGAACCTGCAAAAATCACCTCCTAGTTTCCTTATCTGTAAATGAGGCTATCCATCTATAAGAATAGAGTATAAATATTCTAAGAGTCCTAGGTTTCTGGGGGAGGAGTAGGGAACCCCACAAGTCACCTCAATTAGGGGGAGGTGAGGAGGAGGCAGAAGAGAGGGGTTTACTGAGACCCTTTTACCCTTTAAACAGAATAGCTGTACTTTCCCATGTCTTAAATTGGGGCTCAATGGACGATTTCACTTGGGAAAAGAATTCTTTCTAAAAAGAAAAAAATTAGAGGTCCCCAGGTCTAGACAATTCCTACTGATCTCTTTTTCTTGAACATTCTATAAATTACAAATAGTGTTTTCTGATATGAGAGCTGTGGCTTGTCCCCTGGAGAAAGGGCTGGGAGACAGGCAGCCAGACTGGGGCCCCCAGGGACGGCTAGGCATTGAGCCCTGTAATATTAGCACCGGTTACAATCAGATAGTGTCACCCCACCTGAGGCGCCTAGACAATAGGCCAGGGGCCCTGGGCAAGGGGAGGCACAAAGGCAGCATTCACAAGACCTGACTCCACAGCCAGCAAGCATTTCTATAGACTCCACCAGACCTTGGCCAAGCCTGAATGTCACCTTACAGCCAGAAAGCCATTTTTTCACCGTTAACTTTTAACGGCAAAAAATAATAAACACAGAAGGGAAAGTGCTGACACAATCTTGACTGCAGAGACAAAAGGAAAGCTTTGTTACAATAATGTAAACAAACTGGGTTCCTAACTAAAACTCAGGGCTGCAAAGAGGCTGTTAGATGTTAGCAAACATCTGGGGATGATAGGAGGGATATTCAGAGAAGAATGCAGTTTTACTGCTCAGGTGCTCACAGCCTAAATGACCTTCTCTCCTTGTGGCTCATCTAAATCTTAGGTTTTTGTAGCACTCAGAGAAGAGAGGCCAGAGAGGGCTGATGGATCTTCACCCAGCACAAGTTTTCCACAGACAAATGAAAAAATGGACTCCACTCTCACTCTTCCCCAAGTGAGTGTGGAGCATTCCTTTTCTCCATTATATATTTTAACTCATTTTAATTTCTTCTGAATACCAACAGAGTTCAAAACCTATTGCTAAATCATAACAGCAGCAACACCACACTCTGGAAGCTAATTCTCATAATGCGAAAAAATACAATCAGAAAGACAGCAAGTCTGCAAACAGCCAAGTCAAATTTGACATCTGACCTTCTGATCCATTCAGTCACGTGTGGAACTTGGCACCCACGCAGGACAGCCAATGGGAGGGAAACCGCAGATCTGGAAAAAAGGAAATGCAAGAAGATAAATATAAGTTTTTTTTTGTTTTTAGTTTCCTAACATTTGCTTAATCTTCAGTCATTCTTTTTTCTGTGTTTAAATAGGGTCTGGTTTCATAGCTATTTCTGATTTTTGAATAAATAGACTTAGATTAAAATCTCATTCTAAAGGGAAGATGGTTTCAGAAAAAAAGTTTTTTTTTTTTTTTTAGACAAAAGCCGTATGAACACACTACAGACATAGGGACAACATCTGTGGATCCCAGACCTAGTGGAGCAGGACAGGTAATTTATTAGGGCTTGCATTCAAGAGGAAACTGTGGAAGTGCAGAATGTGTTAAATGCACTTATATTGGTAACACATTCCGCAGGTACAAACTAGGTAAGAGAGGTGGCCAGATTGTGGCATCTGCTGGAGCAGCTGACCATGTCTTTAAGCATCTTGTCTGCATGGCACACAAGATGCTGCTTGTGAACTGTGCTCCAAACCACCATTAGGAATGATGGAAAAACAGAAGTTACTAGAACAAATGTCTGATTTTCCTGCTACCCAGAACAGACATTGATAATACTCTGCCCATATTTGATCTTCTTTTTTAATTCAAAAGAAAATACAGCATAAGTATAATCTCCTAGACAACTCCACTCCAAGGCTAGCCCATGCATTTATCTGTATCTTTACAGTTCGCCTTTTTTTTTTTTTAAAGATTTATTTATTTGTGCCTACAGAACTGGGATACAGGCCAGAGGCTCAGGGGCGGTGAAAGGCTTCACCAGAGACAGAGTGGGGAACAGAACAGGCAGGTTGCTGAGGGGAGCAGTGGGCGGGTCAGGAGAGGTCTGCCACGCCATGTGGTCACCTCCAGGGCAGGCGGGAATCGAACTCATGCGGAAGCAGCTTTAGATTCTCAGTGCTGTGCTTTAACCCGCTGCGCCACCAGGGAGGGCTACAGTTGGCTTTTTTAAAAATATTTTTCGATAATATGTGCATCTAGGTAGTGAAGTGTTCGTATTTTTAATGACCTATATGATATGAATCTTGGCTTGATTCTCTTGATTACTCTCTTCTACAAATTTGACTCAATGTTAGCATGTGAGAGATAACTATGTGATTGGTAACAGCTCATTCTCTAATTTAACTGCCACTTTGAATAAATCTATGCTCAGTCATTGTCTTTTCACCCAACACCAACGTTTATGGAACCATAAAAGCACTTGTTAAATCATTAAAGTGATTGTTGGTTACGTGTGGGTGTGCATATGTGTGTCAATGTGAATTTCCTCTGCTACTCATGCCTAGCTCAAGATGCTACCTTGCTGTGTGTTAAAGGTGGCTTATCTACAGATCAATTCCAAGTATAACAGACACTAAAGATGAAAAAGGCAAAAAGTAGTTGTTAAAAATGGATCCATAGGTTATTGATTTTCCTTCCTCTTAAAACAACATTAAGGAAGACTTTGGATTGTATTTATCTATTTTTCTCCAAAGTTTCTCTCACTGCTCTTATCATAAATCTCCAAATCCCAAGATATCAACATCACGTCATTGTTTCTGAGACAATAAGAAATTGATATTATAAGACTGAGGCCCAAACAGATGCCAAGCCTATGGTGCCAAGCCCAGAAAGCAGACTGTGTTTGTAACTGTGGTTGTGCCTTTATGGTAACTATGAGCCAACACACACCAACATCCCTGGCACTCTTATGAGCACAGTTTACTTTTTGAGGGTTTAATCTAACTTAGACTTTGAAGAGTAGGCATGAATTTGACTCAGTGAAATACTAAAAAATTCCAAAAAAGATTAGTAAGTGCTTTTATGTATAACATTCAGTAAGCTTATCTTATAGGCCAGGTTATGCTAAGTATTTACTTGAATTTCAGTTAATTTAATTCTTACAATGATGAGATTAGGTAGATATTAATAGCCTAGTTTTTCAGATGAGGAAAGGAGAGGCAGAGAAAGGTTTATAATTTTGCCCAAGTCAAACAGAGATTCAGAGGTTAACCAGGAAAAACAGTACCACTGAGATGGCTTCCAGATTTTTCTATACTACTTCCAGACAGAATCTCTTTCATGGTATGCCTCAACCCAAGAACAAACCAAATTAAAATTCTCCAAGTAGGCAAATTCAAAGTTATTTCCTAGTGATGAAGGAAATTTGAAGGAGCAAGGTCAAATGCAGACCCTTCCAACTTAAATATGTCCATTTTAAATTCTTCTCTTTAGAAAACAGGGAATTGTGAATTGCTCATGGCCCAGAGGAGCCTGCCTAATTTTGTTTATATGAGACTCAAAGCAAAAATGAGAATCACTCCTTGGGACAACTTTAGCCCTGAATGTGTGTGTGTGTTTTTTTTTACACATTTTTAATTGGGGCACAAATATATTAACAGCGTGGTTATTTTGTACTTTCAAAAGAATCTGTTTTGTAACTGATTCATATTTATATTTGGAATACATTTATTTTGGGGCATGAAACAGTTCATTTTGTTAAGCCATCTGACCTGAAGTGAGTCTGGCACACTTTCCCATGACCTCTTCCAATTAATGCAAATTGTAGGTTAAAGGATACATCAAGTCCCTTTAACTTGGTTTACTAATGTTATTTATAAACGACACTTTCCTTGGTCTACTTTTTTTCCAGTGATATCTATGTAAAAACAAACTGTACAAAGCAAACAAGCAAATACTTAATGTATGTTACATTGCTAAGTTTTAATTTTGAAAAGGTTTATGCTATGGCAAAAGTGTTATCTTCCTACCTATCTATCATTTATCTAACTACTTTGTCTCAGGTCTCACATTGAATCTTAAGGAGCCTGAGAAAGATTGATTGCATTGTATGAAAGGCTTTCCTTCTTTACCCCTGTCTCCATCTACCCTTTTGTCATGTAACATTGTAGTACCTCTCACTACAGAGTTTATTTCCCTCTCTTTATAAAGTGGAGGAGCAACTAATGTTTCCAAGCTACCATAATGATTTACTAAATTTAAAAGTTCCAAGATAAAACACATATATCACCACTGCCCCTCCCAAGTTCATCACAGGCATCACTAATCAAATACAATCATTCCTTACTGCTTTGTTTATTGTTAACACAATCTCCAACTTCTATATAGCACCATAGATAGCCACCTATTCTATATAGCCACCATAGATAGCACCTAAAGCACCTATTTTTATTTTATTTTCTTTAGCTTCATTAGCTTGAAATTCTAGTGAATGAATATATGTAATGAAACTGTATTTTATATTAATATGATTTGTATATATGTATTTAATTGTGTATTGTGGGACTCTGACTTACATACGATTGGGCTGCTAACTAGATTTTACTCAAGATCATGAATCCACTAAATGTTAAGTCAAAGCAATTAACAAAGATTTAAGTTTAGTTGAATTGGGAGGGGAGAGTGAACTGGAGAGATGAAAACTTTTCAATTATTATCAATTTATCATAGTAAGGTTTTAAAATCAGCTCACGTTATCATAAGCAACCACTAGTGTATTCACTGTTTAGTTCTTAATTGTAACCACAGGCCAATAGGTTATTGGTATTGCCAGAAGTTATCTCGTGTCAAAGCATGGTGACTTGGGTTGGTTTTTAAAAGCCACTATGATGCTTTTCTAATATTGGGATGTTTTCCATCTTACATTTAAAAAATGGGCTTTATAATAATAATAATGACAGATTCAGTAGAACTGAACTTCTTTTACTGCTTTGAAATCATGATTAGCAAGAAAATAATTATTGTTTATATTAATATGAAGACTTTCTCATTTTAACCCCATATCCCAAAGTTTGGTTTTATTAAATGGGACACAAAAACTATTTTAAAAAATTACACAGAAGAAAACACAGGCAAACATTCATGACATTGATTTCATGGATGTATTTGGGGACTTGACTACAATGGCAAGGAAAATAACCTAAAAAAAAAAAAAGCCACACAAGCAAAAATCACACTAAAAAGCTTCTGCACAGTGAAAGAAACTATCATTAAATGGAAAAGACACCCTATTGAATGGAAGGAAATATTCATATATCATATATTTGACAAGGGGCAATTATCCAAAACCTACAAAACATTCATACAACTTAATAACAAACAAACCAAAACCCAATAAAAAATAAGCAGAAGAGTTAAATGGACATTTCTCCACAGAGGACATACAGGTTGCCAACAGGAAGATGAAAAAATATTTGTTACCATTTATCATCCAGGAAATGTAAATTTTGATTTGCATCCAAGAAATGCAAATCAAAACCACCATGAGATACCATCTCACACCTGTGAGAATGGCCCATGTCAGTGTTGGTGAGGAAATGGAGGAAAAGAAAACTTCATACATTCTTGGTGGGAATGTAGATTGGTCCAGGCCTTATTGAAAATAGTATGAAAGTTTCTCAAGACAGTAAATGTAGATCTACCATAGGATCCAACAGTTCTATTCCTACATATCTACCTAAAGAACACAATATTAATTCCAAGGGAAATATGCATTCCTATGTTCATTGCAACACTACTTATAATAACAAAGTTATGGAAACAACCTAAATGCGTAATGACAGACTCATGGATTAAGAAGATGTGGTATACATACACAGCTATTAAGTACATATTACTCAGCTATTTAAAAAAAAAGATGAATTCTTGCCATTTGTGACATATGGGTGGCAGGGGATTATACTGAGTGAAATAAGCCAGAAAGAGGAGCAAGACAAATACTAGGCAGTTTTGCTCAGAGGTGGTATATAATGCAATAAAAAAAGAGCATACAACATTAAAAAAAAAAAAACCAACAGATTTTAGAAACCTTCCTATAAAGTTGAGTCTACCAGAGGTGAAGGGGAAAGGAGAAGAGCAACGGGAGGAGGAGACCAATGGACTATGGTAGATTATGGGTAGTGTGGCAACAGACACAACCTGAAAAGTTGTGATTCTATACCTTTCAGTTATATATAGTATGGTAGTCAATGGTATCTCAATAAACAAA